TGAGGAAGTTGAAACATATATCGTCATACCCAAGAAAGGAGTCATTTCGTGTTTTCAATCTATATTAAGTACTTGAATTATACACATTTAAACTACTTGATACGAACATAATTCTATGCTATGCATTATTAAAATATTCGAAAGTTTTATAAAACTTTGAAATTAAAATCATTTTATCCTACTTACGCGTGTTTTTCTTATTTTGGTTTGTTTTGCAGAAATGACAAACTATTTAAGAAGAAAATTAATATGCTTTTATTAAAATCAACAACAACAAAAAAAAGAACTTGTGAAGTACCGATATAAGAAACTGACTTATAGGTTAATATATTTGTCATTTATCCAAAACACCTGCATTCATAGTCAAATGTTCCCCCAGTGGATCAGCAGTAAGTTTACGAACTTACATCTCTAAAATCCGAGGCACGATTCCCCACGGCGGACAAAGTTTAGATAGCCCATTGTGTAGTTTTGCACTAAAACAACAACCAAACCAGATCATACATAAATACAATATAGTAGACTCAAAATATACTCGAATAGACCCAAATACATTAGAGCCCACACACACACACACAAACTTATCTGTATACAAAGTTATGTGCAAAGCAGAGGAATTCAGTCTTCTGTACTTTACAAATAAAACAATAATTTAGATTTAAAAATATAGGATATTTGAAAATATAGGTTGCTGTACTCTACATAAAAAACAATTATCTCTTTGACGATTGATAAAATTTATTTTTGTTTTTCTGTTGACTGATATACAGAAAACAAAACCTAACTGCGAAATATGTCGCCATCCTTTTATATTTAACAAAATCTTTAATTTTCAGTTTCATTTGTCTTATCAAGTTCGAATGTGTGTAAAAAGAGAGAGAGAGGGAGAAAGAGATACATAGAAATATTTTTCTGAATGTTACTTATGAAACTTGAAGATTATAAAGACAACTCTATACTATTTCCGGCACTTATAAAAGGAAACATGCCTGAGAAAGTTACTTTTGGTCTTAGTTCTATAGCGCTAGCCATGACTACAATATATTTTTTAATTCTGTTCATTCCTATAGAATTTACAAAATTGCGATGAAACTAATGCATGTTAAAAGAATATTTTGACGTAATTATTTCATATTATTTGAATTCATTACTCAGAATACTAAATATTATATCTCGCATCTTTTTAATGTAACTAAATAACATCTTGTAACACAAAAAGTTTTTTTAAGCTACACAATGCTAAGAGAGTATAGTGCTCATTTCTTTTTAAATCAAATGGAAAACTCTAGATAAAGAGTTCTACATTATTTTACTGGCTCGGCACTTCAGCTTTAAGTCTTCAACTAAAGCTCTACTAACAATGAAAAGGGTATTTGCCAATAACAATGAACCAAGTATTCTTTCATAAGTATTTTCTACATTGCAGAGTGCGAGCAGTGACTTTGGAAATTCCAGGATTTCGGGAAAGACCTTTCTTTTCCCGTGAGTCATCATCTGATATTAGCCCTAAGACAAGGAACAAATCGGAAATCGAGTCGGAGCCGCCTTCTGGAATAATTTTCTCAAAACGGGCTACCAAAAATACTCAACAACAGGTCAGATTTTTGACTACTTCCGCTGTTTTACATGTACCTCGAAGGACAAGCCACAATGGACGTCTCAAGCAAGGCCTAAAGGCGGAAGTGACGTTTAGAGAAGAACCTTCTTTCATTGAAAATTCGGCTGATCTTAGCGAAGAGTTAAGAGAGATGACGTACAGATAGCAAAAATAGGAACTTCTCTAATAAAAGCAAATCTGTATACTGCTAGGAAAATGAGAATGTATTTTTTTTGTTTTTGAGAATAATATAAATGAGGAAATATTATGTCATCCGAGGTTCGACTTACCTTACAACAGAGATCGCCTATCCGATGAATTTTTACCATTTGTAATTGTGTGACAAAGGAAAAGTTTAATTGGAATTAAGTGCCTCAAAAATATCAATTTCACCTTCTTGTGTCGTGTTATTGTACTAAGGTAAAGCAAAAATACTTCCCAACTTACATATGTATGTATATATATATATATGTGTGTGTGTATAATGTATGCAGATACATATATTTAATAGTTTATAAAACATTTCTTTATTAAATATTAATGCTTTAACGTTTTTTGTCAAATGGTGTATTTGAATATTCAATATACGTGTCCAGAAACAATAAAAAGTTCAATATATTAATTAACCTCTTTGTTTCTTGTACTTGCACGTTGTGATCTATTAAAATTTTGTAATGTTAAATTTCTTGTATCCGCTAATATATTTCACATAACAGTTAAAAAATAAACACACATAAAAATAACACAACTAATATTCGTGATATTACAATAGACTACGAATGTTTTTTAGGTATATGACTCTTAATTTTACCATTAAAGATTTCAGATCAGGGCTTGTGAAATAGTATCTTAAAATCTAGCTGTTAGTCCGCCACAAGCCATTGTTGCTCAAGGTGGGTTTTTATTTTATTTTCCCCGATTATTAGACTTGTTGGTTTAATTGCTTTGTTAGCTTTCGGTGTTCAATACTTTAGTTTTTGTGCTTCGTGTATAAACAACGAGTTGGATAGGCTTTTGGTCGTTATAATCCAGCCAAGATAAAGAGTTCGAACCATAGATTTGAAGTGTATATTTTATATACTTACTAGTGAGCGCCGATAGATGGTGAAGCAATATAGCTACTATTCGGTAACAGTGAATAAGTAATCTTTAGTTTGTAGGATGTCGACTGGTTCTTCTCAAGACCTGCTTCTTAAAAGTGTCAAAACGTGGAGAATGCGCCCTCAGCAACAAAGCTGTCTGTAACACAACAGTTATAAAAAGTAGAATTAAGTATCGTCTGGCAAGAAAGTAGAAAATCGAACTAAATAAATAAGACAGTTGAATATCTTGTAATAGGGAAGAAATCCTGCTGTCATTAGTTCTGGTTATTTTTGGAATGCCAAGTAGATACCGCTTTATTATGGAAACCGGTAAAAAGTTCAACTATTTTTTTTTGTATTCTGTAAAGTAATTCTATAAAAATAATCGTGTAAATTTAAATGTAGGCTTAACTCCAAGTTACCTTTAAGGTCTGGCATGGTCTGGTGGTTAGGGCGCTCTACTCATTATCTGAGGGTCGCGAGTTTGAGCCCCCATCAACGAACATGATCGTCCTTTCAGTATTATATGTAACAGCAAAAGAATAGCCCAAGAGTTGGCGATAGGTGGTATTGGCTAGCTGCCTTCCCTCTAGTTTGTCTCTACTAAATTGGAGACGGCTAGCGCAGATATCTCGCGAGATTCAAAACAAACCAACTTAGCATGTATTAAATGAACAGAATGAGAACGTGGATAATGGTTATGAATTTTAGTAATTCTTAAAACATCCACCAGTTTTATAATAGTGGATGTACCCTATTTCAAATATATGAATATTCATACATTTATTCATGTTTCATAAGTTGGATTTCAAAAGTAAACGATTGGTGTAAACATATTTTTAATTAGTTTCAACTTAATCCGAGTTTCTTTATATTCAGTTATATTGAATAAAAAAAAGTCTATTACAAGTTTTAAAGTAATAACTATATTTTTATTGATGTTACCTTATTATAATCATTTTCTAGTCTTGTTTTATTATATGGATTTAAGATTAACCTAAGTATCTCAGATAGGCGGAAACTTATAAGAAGTTATTGAGATTAAAACCAGAAACACAATTAATAATGAGGGCATCCAACTGATCATTAAATATATTTTTCATTAATGTATCCACCAGATGGCCTAAGGGTTAGCGAGTCGGGCTGCGGATTTGAAAAGTCTGTAGTTCGAGACAGTATGGTATTGGCTGGTCTTGCCTCTATTATGTAGTTCAAATTTGGAGACGGCTATATCTGAACTAGAATTGAAGTCCAAGTGCGCATGATTACCACTCTGATTGAAAATTCTGATTCCAATTCATTAATGTATCCACCAGATGGCCTAAGGGTTAGCGAGTCGGGCTGCGGATTTGAAAAGTCTGTAGTTCGAGACAGTATGGTATTGGCTGGTCTTGCTTCTATTATGTAGTTCAAAATTGGAGACGGCTATATCTGAACTAGAATTGAAGTCCAAGTGCGCATGATTACCACTCTGATTGAAAATTCTGATTCCAATTCATTAATGTATAAAAGTTATTTCTAATTGTTCTAGATATGATATTTATAATTAGCTTACTTTTAATCAAAAGTCTTAGTTATGCTCCAGGAAACAACAACAACAACAAAATTGAGAAGCACACAAACTGTACGATTCATCATTGTACCACAAACCTTGTAACAATTCATTGTAAAATAAGTATTTCCAATGACACTGCTACTAAATATTTCCCTTAAAAAAGAAAGTGCAAATGGAGCTACCTTAAGTGAATGTGGAAATTTTATAAAAATTTGGTTTCGATGCCCCTGGTGGACAGAGCACAGATTGCCCATTGTGTAACTTTGCGCTTAACAACAAACAAACCAAAATATGTGAATGTCATCTGTCTTGTGATGTGTCAAGTCATTAGTTGTAGTATGCATTTCACGAAAATATTTAGAAAAGAAACATTTAGATATTTTAAGGTTTATACATTATCACATCAACACTAGTGAATACAAACATGATGTAATATAAAATACGTGGCAAACATTGGAGTGTAATTATGGCATATTTACACTCGTTGACGACATTCTCTAATGACTTAGCGCCTTTGGTCGTAAACTACCGTAAGTCTTCATGATGCTACGAGCACAGGCATTTGTTAATGTAGATACGAAAGAATACAGCAAATAGTTGCATGACATTCGCCTTAACATCCACGCCCTACAATGTTTGCTTAGTAATCGGAGACAAAACTTCTGATAAAAATTCTTAAATAAAACTGAAAAATTATACAAGTAGACAGCTAATTCTGTCAGCTAATATATATATTATATAAAATTTATAATGCTTTGTAATTTCCGTCCTCAAGCCTTTTAGAATAAATTTCCAAGTGTTAGGTTGTTGTTTACCATAGTAATCAGAGATTCAAGCGCTTACTGGAAAAATTGAGTAGAAACATGGTAAAAGAAAAAGATCCATAAAAACAGAAACACGTTTTCTGGCCCATTTTTCGCTTCTATGCGTGAATTTATCTTTTTCCTTTTTGTCTTCAGAGATTTATGTATGGTATTAACTAACTGATAAACATTTGTCACTGACATCATTTTGAGTATACAAACAACAGAAAAGTGCTTTAAAGTGTTGTTGTTTTATTCAATATTTTCACTAAAAGTTGAAATATATCATGTGTGGACAATCACCATCATTTTTCTATGTATAGTGTTATGAGTTATCTTTTATTCACCACAGCGAATCCACATTTACCAAAAGAAACGGTCGTTCTGTAACCAAAACAAAAAAGGTGAAAATGAAACAAAACTACTGTAGTCTTTTCTGTTTACATAGTTTCCCATTAAGCATAACATATTCATTTTGGCTATTCTTCTCCAAAACTAAAATTGATAAATGTTTGTTTTATCCTGAAGATTTTCCACCTGTAGTATGTTCATCAAAATAAATAAAAATACCTTCTTCTCCTTCCTCTGGTTACTCTCGTTCCTAGGGTTTATTTTGTGTAGCTCACTACCTTCTTTTCCTTCCTCTGGTTACTCTCGTTCCTAGGGTTTATTTTGTGTAGCTCACTACCTTCTTTTCCTTCCTCTGGTTACTCTTGGACCTAGGGTTTATTTTGTGTAGCTCAATACCTTCTTTTCCTTCCTCTGGTTACTCTCGTTCCTAGGGTTTATTTTGCGTAGCTCAATACCTTCTCCTTCCTCTGGTTACTCTCGTTCCTAGGGTTTATTTTGTGTAGCTCAGCTCAGAAAGAGAATGCCATCTGGTATCACTATTGCTTCCAGGTCCTCGTATGTTGTCATCCTCAAAAGTAATACATTTTCCAATCTCATGCAATCTACGTGACAATGTGGTGGGTTCATGTAACTCCAAAAATTACTCGATATCCATCCAAAAAACGCTTGAATGAAAAACAAAAGCCAACATTCTACTAATAATTATTATCAAGTTACACTGAAAAAAATCTGATGGGTTGAATTAGGAGCTAAGCTGAATTTAAATTCACTTTTACAGCACATGAGTAAAATAATGTTTTGCCAAGTTTAAGGGATTTCATCTAGTGGTCGAGGTAAAGCATAATTTTTGCTTTTAACTCTCAAGCCTTTTTGGATAGATATATGATTTGAAGATTATGAAACACTAATTCTCTAATTTATTTTGCTGAATTAGTCAACTCTCATCGGCAACCTTGAACAAATACAAATAGAAAGAACAAGATCAGGCTTAATAGAATGATGAGGTGTATATTATATATATAGTGTTTTGAGTTCTATTTTACTCGTCACAGAGAACCTATATTTGTATGTGATTTAAAGAACACGTATCATTAACGTTAATAATCTATTTTTTGAATTGTTCAATAGACAACATATTTATAATACCAACAATAAATATGAAACCCAATCTATGTTCCTTTGGAGAGGAAAATAAACTACGGGTAAACTTTTATGTAATTCCCTGGGCGATTAGGGCCACTTGATAATTTAAAAGAAATCCTCAACCCTATACTGTTCCTATAAAACCCATATTTTGCCTAAATATTAAGCTACAATTGGGCCACATATTCACCAATCCCATTTGTCTTCAAGTCATCGCTTGTGAACTGAAAGCCAGGGATGTGTCGCCCTTTAGAAAAGTCTCTCTCTAAATCGCCCCGTTTTATGATGTTAGGTACGGTTCCGGGAAGTGTACCATTATCTTATGGAAACCATATTAGAATATGCTCCCAGAATTGTTTTTTCTATATCCATTTCCCCATTAACACCAGTAGTTTGAAATTACAGAACATCCAGACTTGAATAAACTCAATACTTACTCAACACAAACAACTTTGTTAAACACTAATCTGTGAATCGAAGGGGTCTTATTTTGCGTCTAATTGTTGCCCCCACCAAATATATATATATCGTATTACACAACTTGGGCGTTTGGTGCGTTATAAGACTGTCGGTCAACTAAAGTGGCCCAAGAGTTTGCAGTAGATGCTGTTAATTAGCTGCCTTCTCACTAGGTTATCAGTTTAAA